ATATGATTCAGTGACAGTCTTCTGCCAGGATTCATAGGTTTTGATAAGAAAAAATATTGCCTATTTACAATAGGTAATTGCCTACTCACAGACCTGTTTCTTCTGGAATTTAAAGCCATCTGGCTTTAAATCTGTTCCCTAATTTAAAATTATTACAGAATGATAACATTCTGATACTAGAGTATTGTTTTTATCCTCTCCTCTGAAATTATTGAAATCTTGTTCTATAACTCACAGCATTTCAATGCATTAAGTATAAAGCAGATAAATAATTTGAGATGTTCCATGTCAGATATGTTACTTTTTAAAGTGATGAAAGATCTGTTGCCTTTAATAAAGCAATAAATGTCTGTGATATCATATTCTTTTGCTTTTACTACTAATAAAAAATGTTACTTAGGGAGGATTATGATAACATTGAAAAAAATCTGCAAGAGTTTTAGACTTTGTGTAGCTGTTTAATGGCAAAAGCAAGAAATGCACTTTCTCCGATTCTCTGATTTCAACGCTGACTGAATTTTTCAGCTTCAGCTATTTCCATCAAAAATCCTTATTTTTATAAATATTCACACACTTTGTTTTCTATATATTTAAAATACAACAATATTCTAAATATTTGACAAATTAAATGGATTAAAGAAATATTTGCTTTTATCTGTTAGTTTAAATGATGAATAATTGATTCTGAAACAGACAAAAATTTACTGGTGCCACCAAAACAAAATGAATGTGTTGTTTACATAGTGAAACAGACATCATAATAATCTATATATTTCAATCTGGATACATTAAATACTTTTTATGAAGAGTCTGGTGGGGTTATACATGACATACATGGTTTTGGATTGATCTTAAATTTAGAAATATAATTTACTTATTTTGATGACCGTCACATATTAAGAGATAAGGCATCTGCTCATCAGATACTATGCCACCATAACCTATTTTTGAATACTATTTAAATCAGCTTTTTGTGTGTGTGTGCATGTGTACATACACACATATAGTTAAAGCATAATTAAAGGGTTAATTTTTGTAATCCAAATCTTGATTAAATTGTTTTAATTGCTGTGGTAAAATTCTGTTTCTGTTCAAATATAGTTGATGCTAACCCTTATGAATATCCAGTACTGGCCACAGAAGTATCTATTCCAGGTCTTCCATCTGGCTAGCACTGCTATATTCACAGAATTTTAGAGTTTATTAGTTTTAAATGTGCTTTGTAGGATTTTTTTAAAAATAATTGGATTAAATATGATGTATATTTGTACAAATATAAATATTTGGCCTTACATAGAATTTATCTTCATTTTGGAGCTGATCAAAATATTAAAATATGGGATATACAGCTTTCTATCATTCAAGCAGTGCATTCAATGCATATGTAAATCCTCAATCAAGAATTAAAAGCAAAAAGAGAGCAAAAGAGATCTCATCCCCATGCCCTATGGTGCTGTCCTCTGGGAATTGTAAGAGTATTTAGAAGAATCACTTCACTGCTCCAATTTTTAATATCTTGTCTGTATGTAAAATAGTTGGTACTGGAAATATGTTTTTGTTCATTCTTCTCATTGTTAGTGGTTAATGATTTAAATAAATAGGGAAAGGGACTAAAGCAAGGGTTTACCAAAACTGATCAAAATCCAAACCTGAAAGGAATTTTGGGACCATAATATTTCTCATGTAACATATAAAGCATTGTAGATACATATATAAAATAAAAATTCTCTGACATTAATATTTTCATGGCAGAAGTATGAGAATCTATTGAAAGTATT